TGATGAGACACTGAACGTGGAAACCTGTCCCAGACGTCTATGAACATCTGGGGCTGGGTACACCAGCGGTGGCTTCGAGCTGCTGATGAGACACTGAACGTGGAAACCTGTCCAGACGTCTATGAACATCTGGGGCTGGCTTCGAGCTGCTGATGAGACACTGAACGTGGAAACCTGTCCCAGACGTCTATGAACATCTGGGGCTGGGTTAACCAGAAGTGGCTTCGAGCTGCTGATGAGACACTGAACGTGGAAACCTGTCCCAGATGTCTATGAACATCTGGGGCTGGGTTAACCAGCGGTGGCTTCGAGCTGCTGATGAGACACTGAACGTGGGAACCTGTCCCAGAAGTCTATGAACATCTGGGGCTGGGTTCAAGCTGCTGATGAGACACTGAACGTGGAAACCTGTCCCAGATGTCTATGAACATCTGGGGCTGGGTTCACCAGCAGTGGCTTCGAGCTGCTGATGATGCCACTGAACGTGGAAACCTGTCCCAGACGTCTATGAACATCTGGGGCTGGGTTAACCAGAAGTGCTTCGAGCTGCTGATGAGACACTGAACGTGGAAACCTGTCCCAGATGTCTATGAACATCTGGGGCTGGGTTCGAGCTGCTGATGATTGCCACTGAACGTGGAAACCTGTCCCAGACGTCTATGAACATCTGGGGCTGGGTACACCAGCAGCGGGTGCTTCGAGCTGCTGATGAGACAATGAACGTGGAAACCTGTCCCAGACGTCTATGAACATCTGGGGCTGGGTACCACCAGCGGTGGCTTCGAGCTGCTGATGAGACACTGAACGTGGGAACCTGTCCCAGACGTCTATGAACATCTGGGGCTGGGTTAACCAGCAGCGGTGGCTTCGAGCTGCTGATGAGACAATGAACGTGGAAGCCGGCGCTCGCACGCAGGAAGAGAGAGGATCGTGCTTGCTGATGGATGTGTAGAAAGATCTTTTACTGATCACGTGGGGGGGGGGGGGGGGGGGGGGCCTCTGACACCGCCTCTTGAACATCGCTGGGGGCTCGGCGGGAGGATGGTGGAGTTCCTGAACCACCACCACCACCTGAACCACCACCACCACCTGAACCACCACCACCACCACCACCACCTGAACCACCTCCACCACCACCTCCTCCACCACCACCTCCTCCACCACCACCACCACCACCACCAGCTCCACCACCACCACCACCACCAGCTCCACCACCACCACCACCACCACTACCACCACCTCCACCACCACCACCACCACCTCCACTCCCCCATCACTATCACCACCTCCACCACCCCATCACCACGTTGTGTGGCGTTGTGTACAGAACGTTGTGTGGCAATCCGTGTTCAGCGCTGTGCGTGACAAACAGTGTGTAGTGTTGTGTATATCACGTGTGTCAATCTGTGTATAGTGTTGTGTGTATATCACATTGTGTGTGTTAATCTGTGTATATCACGTTGTGTATGTGTGTCATAAACTGTGTGTATTGTTGTGTTAATCTGTGTATAGCGCTGTGTGTATATCACGTTTGTGTGTCAATCTGTGTATAGTGTTGTGTATACCGCTGTGTGTATATCACGTTGTGTATGTGTGTGTGTTAATCTGTGTATAGTGCTGTGTGTATATCACGTTGTGTGTGTCAATCTGTGTGTAGTGTTGTGTATACCGCTGTGTGTATATCACGTTGTGTGTGGTCAATCTGTGTGTAGTGTTGTGTATACCGCTGTGTGTATATCACGTTGTGTATGTGTGTCATAACCTGTGTGTAGTGTTGTGTCAATCTGTGTATAGTGCCGTGTGTATATCACGTTGTGTGTCAATCTGTGTGTAGGTGTTGTGTATACCGCTGTGTGTATATCACTGTTGTGTATGTGTGTGTGTTAATCTGTGTATAGTGCTGTGTGTATATCACGTTGTGTGGTGTCAATCTGTGTGTAGTGTTGTGTATACCGCTGTGTGTATATCAGTTGTGTGTGTCAATCTGTGTGTAGTGTTGTGTATACCGCTGTGTGTATATCACGTTGTGTATGTGTGTCATAACATGTGTGTAGTGTTGTGTCAATCTGTGTATAGTGCCGTGTGTATATCACGTTGTGTGTCAATCTGTGTGTAGTGTTGTGTATACCGCTGTGTGTATATCACGTTGTGTGTCAATCTGTGTGTAGTGTTGTGTATACCGCTGTGTGTATATCACGTTGTGTGTGTCAATCTGTGTGTAGTGTGTGTAAGCCCCAGGCTACTTTGGGCTCGCCTTCCCATCAACCGGAGGCGAGGAATGGTGGTCGTGTTTACTTATGCCCCCACCGAAGATGAACATCCGTGGAGGGATGCAGGCAAAGCCGATGAGTCAGATGCCTTCTATGACCTCCTGTCACAGGTGCTGGCTAAAGTGGCCCCTCGGGATAGAGTCACCATGTTGGGTGACTTCAATGCCCGAGTTGGTCATGATACTGGCACCTGGTCTGGAGTGATTGGAGGGCATGGGCCAGATCAGCTCAATAACAACGATAGGAGGCTGCTAAATTTTTGTGCAGCCCATGGGCTTGTAATTACCAACACGCTGTTCCGGCATCGGCGCATCCACACAACATCATGGATGCATGCCGGGTCCAAGCAAGAACATCTGCTGGACTACATAGTGACGGAACAGCGGATGCGAGCCCATGTCCTTGACACCTGGACCTACCGTGGAGCTGATCTGCCCTCTGACCATCGACTAGTCATCTGTAAGATGCGCATGCCATTCTTCCACTCCGGTGGTGGGTGTACACCCAGGACCCCATTCCAACCTAAAGTGGCCTGGTCTCAGTTATCTGATGAAAGTTGCAAGCGAGAATTTCATCATCGCTTGCGGCTGGGTTTAGGACTGTGACTCATGCAGCTGCAATGGCTGCTTTAGGTACGCGGTCCAGACCTCCCCAGAGACCCTGGCTGACAGAGGAGGTGTTCAGGATGGTTGAGAAAAAGCGACAGGCCCACTGTCATCGGCTACAGAATCCCACGTCAGAGAATGAGGCTTACCGCAGCCTTCGCTCGGAGGTTCGGAGAGCCGTGAGGCGCTGCAAGGATGGGTGGTGGTCGCGGGTTGCTGAGGAGATGGAGTCTGCCTCAGTGGCCCGTGATCACACATCTCTATTTAACTCCATCAAAAAAGTAACCTGCAGCGCCACACCTATTACCATCATTAGGGGAAAAAACGGTGATCCAATCTCCGACCCCCAGGAACAGGTTTGCAGATTTGCTGAGCATTTCTGTGAGGTCCTGGGGGAGGGAAAATCCCTCAGCCAGGAAAACATCGTGGCACAAAGTGAGGATGACCCTGCTGAGGCTGCGGTGCCTCAAATATTGGAAGAAGTCACCCCCTGTGCGTGGCTGGCTGAGGTGCCATCTGTTGAGGAAGTACTGAAGGCGATCCGGAGTCTGAGACCAGGAAAGGCAGCGGGCAGAGATGATCTCCCAAGCGAAATGTTGAGGGAGGGTGGCGTTTGTGCACAGACTGCCCTATATGACATCATAACAGTCTGGACCACTGGACGGGTTCCGCAGGATTGGAAGGATGCCCTGGTGGTCCCCCTTTTTAAGAAGGGGGACCGCACAGACTGTAACAACTACAGGGGCATCTCACTCCTCAGTGTGCCGGGAAAGGTCCTGGCAAGGATTATTCAGCATCGCCTTGCCAGGCACGCTGAGGAGAGGTTTGCAGAGCCCCAATGTGGTTTCAGGAAAGGGCAGTCCTGCACAGATGCCATATTTTCTGTCCGTCTGCTACAGCAGAGGTGTAGGGAATTCCAACAAGACCTACATCTCTGCTTTATTGACCTGGTCAAGGCCTATGATAACATCAGTAGGCCTGGGCTCTGGTCGTTCTTCGTTGCTTTTGGAGTACCCTGACCCTCTGCTCACGATCATTAAGGACCTTCATGATGCTGAGCGGGCCCGGGTAAAACTACGTGGCCGGGAGTCAGAGCTATTCCCTGTACACCCTTGGGGTGCGACAGGGATGTCCTCTGGCTCCCACATTATTTAACATCTATTTTGACCACGTAGTTCGTGAAGCCTTCAATAGCTGTACCGGGGGAATCTCCATATGGTACAGATATTAATGGGAGGCTGATCGATGCCCGGGTGCGGTCAAGGGATGGCGCCTATTGCTCAACCACGTTATGTATGCTGATGATTTGGTAATAGCTGCTCAGTCAGAGGAGGAGTTGGAGACGCTGCTGCTGATGACTGATGCGTGCCACTAAGAGGTGGGGCCTTACATCAGCCCCACCAAAAATAAGCACCTGCCTGGGTATTTTGTACCATCGGACACTCCACTCCACAACTCCCAATAGCCTGGCACAAGCGTCGTGGTGACGTCACCGCCACTTAGTGGCGAATGGCGTTGTTGTTGTTGTAGTGTTGTGTATAGTGCTGTGTGTATCACGTTGTGTATGTGTGTGTGTTAATCTGTGTATACCGCTTGTGTGTATATAACGTTGTGTATTTGTCAATCTGTGTGTAGTGTTGTGTATAACGCGGTGTGTACATCACGTTGTGTGTAGTGTTGTGTATAGTGCTGTTGTGTAAATCACGCTGTGTGTAGTGTTGTATATCACGTTGTGTGTATAGTGTTGTGTGTGGTGCTGTGTGTAGTGTTGTGTGTAGTGTTGTGTGTAGTGTTGTATATCACGTTGTGTGTAGTGTTGTGTGTGGTGCTGTGTGTAGTGTTGTGTGTAGTGTTGTGTGTAGTGTTGTATATCACGTTGTGTGTAGTGTTGTGTGTGGTGCTTGTGTGTACATCACGCTGTGTGTAGTGTTGTGTGTGGTGCTGTGTGTACATCACGTTGTGTGCACTACTGCCTTATGCATCCCTCCCCTCACCCACCCACAACCCCCCCCCTCTCCTCGCCCCCTCTCCCCATCTCCTCACCCCTCCCCCCCTCTCTCCCTCCTCACCTCCCTCTCCCCCTCTCTCCCTCCCGCCACCACCACCGCCACCACCACCGCCACCACCACTGTGCCCCGTGTCAGATGGTGGACTTTGAGAAGGACACTTTGAGCAGGCGGTCGTTCACCCAGGCTGAAGTTGTGGATCTCCGTCAGCGCCTCAACGCCTCCTCTACAGAGGACATCTGGATCAGGGCCATCTTGCGATCGCTCCTGCACAGGGGGGAGGGTGGTGGTGGGGTGATGATGGGGTTGGCGGATCACAGCAGCAGCAGCAGGAGGCCTAAGAGGGGTCACTAGGGGTGTCCCCCTAGGCTACAGCACCACTCACACACAGAGACAGCTGTTGCTGGGGTGTCCCCCTAGGCTACAGCACCACTCAACACAGGGACAGCTGTCACTGGGGGTGTCCCCCCTAGGCTACAGCATCACTCAACACAGGACAGCTGTCACTGGGGTGTCCCCCTAGGCTACAGCATCACTCACACACAGGGACAGCTGTCACTGGGGTGTCCCCCTAGGCTACAGCACACTCACACACAGGGACAGCTGTCACTGGGGTGTCCCCTAGGCTACAGCATCACTCACACAGGACAGCTGTCACTGGGGGGGTCCCCTAGGCTACAGCATCACTCACACAGGGACAGCTGTCACTGGGGGTGTCCCCTAGGCTACAGCATCACTCACACACAGGGACAGCTGTCACTGGGGGTGTCCCCTAGGCTACAGCACCACTCACACACAGGGACAGCTGTCACTGGGGGTGTCCCCCTAGGCTACAGCACCACTCACACACAGGGACAGCTGTCACTGGGGGTGTCCCCTAGGCTACAGCATCACTCACACACAGGGACAGCTGTCACTGGGGGTGTCCCCCTACGCTACAGCACCACTCACACACAGAGACAGCTGTCGCTGGGGGTGTCCCCCTAGGCTACAGCACCACTCACACACAGGGACAGCTGTCACTGGGGGGTCCCCCTAGGATACAGCACACTCACACACAGGGACAGCTGTCACTGGGGGTGTCCCCCTAGGCTACAGACACTCACACACAGGGACAGCTGTCACTGGGGTTGTCCCCTAGGCTACAGCACACTCACACACAGGGGGACAGCTGTCACTGGGGGTGTCCCCCTAGGCTACAGACACTCACACACAGGACAGCTGTCATGGGGGATGTCCCCTAGGCTACAGACACTCACACACAGGGACAGCTGTCAACTGGGGTGTCCCCTAGGCTACAGCACACTCACCACTACAGTGGACAGCTGTCACTGGGGGTGTCCCCCCTAGGCTACAGACACTCACACACAGGGACAGCTGTCATGGGGGTGTTCCCCTAGGCTACAGCACACTCACACACAGGGACAGCTGTCACTGGGGTGTCCCCCTAGGCTACAGACCACTCACACACAGGGACAGCTGTCACTGGGGGTGTCCCCCATAGGCTACAGCACACTCACACACAGGGACAGCTGTCACTGGGGTGTCCCCTAGGCTACAGCATCACTCACACACAGGGACAGCTGTCACTAGGGGTGTCCCCTAGGCTACAGCACCACTCACACACAGGGACCAGCTGTCACTGGGGGTGTCCCCTAGGCTACAGCATCACTCCACAACACAGAGGACAGCTGTCACTGGGGGTGTTCCCCCTAGCTACAGCACCACTCACACACAGGGACAGCTGTCACTGGGGTGTCCCCTAGGCTACAGACACTCACCACACAGGGACAGCTTTCACTGGGGTGTCCCCTAGGATACAGACCATACTCACACACTAGAGGACCAGCTGTCACTGGGGGTGTCCCCCTAGGCTACAGATACTCCACACACAGGGGACAGCTGTCACTAGGGGTTGTCCCCCTAAGGCTACAGCACCACTCACACACAGGGAGACAGCTGTCACGTGGGGGTGATCCCACTAGGCTACAGCACCTACTCACACACAGGACAGCTGTCACTGGGGTGTCCCCTAGGCTACAGCATCACTCACACACAGGGACAGCTGTCACTGGGGGTGTCCCCTAGGCTACAGCATCACTCACACACAGGGACAGCTGTCACTGGGTGTCCCCCTAGGCTACAGCATCACTCACACACAGGGACAGCTGTCACTGGGGGTGTCCCCCTAGGCTACAGCATCACTCACACAGGGACAGCTGTCACTGGGGGTGTCCCCCTAGGCTACAGCCACTCACACACAGGGACAGCTGTCACTGGGGTGTCCCCCTAGGCTACAGCACCACTCACACAGGGACAGCTGTCATAGGGGTGTCCCCCTAGGCATAGCACACTCACACTCACCACACTCAGCTGTCGCTGGGGGTGTCCCCCTAGGAATATAGCATCACTCACACACAGGGACAGCTGTCACTAGGGGTGTCCCCTAGGCTACAGCACCACTCACACACAGGGACAGCTGTCACTAGGGGTGTCCCCTAGGCTACAGCACACTCACACACAGGGACAGCTGTCACTGGGGGTGTCCCCCTAGGCTACAGCACCACACAGCAGCAGACTCACACACAGGGACAGCTGCCACTGGGTGTGCCCCTAGGCTACAGACACTCACACACAGGGACAGCTGTCACTGGGGGTGCCCCCTAGGCTACAGACACTCACACACAGGGACAGCTGTCACTGGGGGTGTCCCCTAGGCTACAGACACTCACACACAGGGACAGCTGTCGCTGGGGTGTCCCCCTAGGCTACAGCACCGCACAGCACCACTCACACACAGGGACAGCTGTCACTGGGGGTGTCCCCTTGGCTACAGCACCACACAGCAGCAGACTCAAACACAGGGACAGCTGTCACTGGGGGTGTCCCCTAGGCTACAGACACTCACACACAGGGACAGCTGTCACTGGGGGTGTCCCCTAGGCTACAGACACTCACACACAGGGACAGCTGTCACGGGGGTGTCCCCCTAGGCTACAGACTCACACACAGGGACAGCTGTCACTGGGGGTGTCCCCCTAGGCTACAGCATCACACAGCACCACTCACACACAGAGACAGCTGCCACTGGGGGTGTCCCCTAGGGGTGTCACTCACGCAAAGAATTTGAAGGCGGCGATGGAGGAGCCGGTGCTGCTGAAGAGCGTCTTGAGGTCGGGTCTCCGTAACGTTGGACCTGGGGCGGGGGCATGGGGTGAGTGGGTGAGTGGTGTGTGAGTGGGTGGGTGGGTGAGTGGGTGGGTGGGGGAGTGGGTGAGTGGGTGGGTGAGTGGGTGGGTGAGTGGGTGGTGTGGGGGTGAGTGGGTGGGTGAGTGGGTGTGTGGGTGAGTGGGTGAGTGGGTGGGTGAGTGGGTGAGTGGTGTGAGTGGGTGTGTGGGTGAGTGGGTGAGTAGGTGGGTGAGTGGTGAGTGGGTGAGTGGGGGGTGAGTGGGTGTGTGGGTGAGTGAGTGGGTGGGTGAGTGGGTGGGTGGGTGAGTGGGTGGGGGGTGATGGGTGGGTGGGGTGGGTGAGTGAGGGGTGGGTGGGTGGGTGAGTGGGTGAGTGGGTGGGTGAGTGGTGGGTGAGTGGGTGTGGGGTGAGTGGGTGGGTGGTGTGAGTGGTGAGTGGGTGGGTGAGTGGGTGGGTGGGTGGGTGAGTGAGTGGGTGAGTGGGTGGGTGAGTGTGTGAGTGAGTGGGTGGGTGAGTGAGTGGGTGGCTGAGTGGGTGGGTGAGTGAGTGGGTGAGTGGGTGAGTAGGTGAGTGGGTGAGTGGGTGAGTGGGGGTGAGTGGTGTGAGTGAGTGGGTGGGTGAGTGTGTGAGTGAGTGAGGGTGTGTGAGTGGGTGAGTGAGTGGGCGAGTGGGGTGGGTGGGGTGAGTTGTGTGGGTGAGTGAGTGAGTGAGTGGGGTGAGTGGTGGGTGGAGTGAGGGGTGGGTGGGTGAGTGGGTGAGTGGGTGAGTGGTGTGAGTGGGGTGGGTGGCTGAGTGGGTGGGTGGGTGGTGAGTTGTGTGAGTGAGTGAGCTGGTGAGTGAGCTGTGTGAGTGAGTGAGCTGGTGAGCGAGCTGGTGGGTGAGCGAGCTGGTGAGTGAGTGAGCTGGTGAGTGAGTGAGCTGGTGAGTGAGCTGGTGAGTGAGTGGTGAGTGAGCGAGCTGGTGGGTGAGCGAGCTGGTGAGTGAGTGAGCTGGTGAGTGAGTGAGCTGGTGAGTGATGAGCTGGTGAGTGAGTGAGCTGGTGAGTGAGCTGGTGGGTGAGCGAGCTGGTGAGTGAGCTGGTGAGTGAGTGAGCTGGTGAGTGAGTGAGCTGGTGAGTGAGCTGGTGAGTGAGTGAGCTGGTGAATGAGCTGGTGAGTGAGTGAGCTGGTGAGTGAGTGAGTGGTGAGTGAGTGGGTGAGCTGGTGAGTGAGTGAGCTGGTGAGTGAGCTGGTGAGTGAGTGAGTTGGTGAGTGAGCTGGTGAGTGAGCTGGTGAGCGAGCTGGTGGGTGAGCGAGCTGGTGGGTGAGCGAGCTGGTGAGTGAGTGAGCTGGTGAGTGAGTGAGCTGGTGAGTGAGCTGGTGAGTGAGCTGGTGAGCGAGCTGGTGGGTGAGCGAGCTGGTGAGTGAGTGAGCTGGTGAGTGAGTGAGCTGGTGAGTGAGCTGGTGAGTGAGTGAGCTGGTGAGTGAGCTGGTGGGTGAGCGAGCTGGTGAGTGAGCTGGTGAGTGAGTGAGTGGTGAGTGAGTGAGCTGGTGAGTGAGCTGGTGAGTGAGTGAGCTGGTGAATGAGCTGGGTGAGAGTGAGCTGGTGAGTGAGTGAGTTGGTGAGTGAGTGAGCTGGTGAGTGAGGAGTGAGCTGGTGAGTGAATGAGCTGGTGAGTGAGCTGGTGAGTGAGTGAGCTGGTGAGTGAGTGAGTTGGTGAGTGAGTGAGCTGGTGAGTGAGTGAGCTGGTGAGTGAGCTGGTGAGTGAGTGAGCTGGTGAGTGAGCTGGTGAGCGAGCTGGTGAGTGAGTGAGCTGGTGAGCGAGTGGTGAGGTGAGTGAGCTGCTGAGTGAGCGAGCTGGTGAATTGAGCGAGCTGGTGAGTGATGCTGGGAGTTGAGTGAGCTGGTGAGTGAGATGAGCTGGTGAGTGAGCTGGTGAGTGAGTGAGCTGAGTGGATGAGCTGGTGAGTGAGTGAGCTGGTGAGTGAGTTGGTGATGTGAGCTAGCTGGTGGCGTAGAGCGATGCTGGTGAGTGAGCTGGTGAATGAGGCTGCTCGTGAGGAGCTGAGTGATTGTGAGCGAGCGAATCTGTGAGTGAGCCTGGTGAGTGAGTGATCTGGTGAGTGAGCTGGTGAGTGAGTGAGCTGGTGGGTGAGCGAGCTGGTGAGTGAGCTGGTGAGTGAGTGAGCTGGTGAGTGAGTGAGTGGCTGTGAGTGAGCGAGCTGGTGAGTGAGCTGGTGAGTGATGTGAGCTGGTGAGTGAGTGAGCTGGTGAGTGAGTGAGCTGGTGAGTGAGTGAGCTGGTGAGTGAGTGAGCTGGTGAGTGAGCTGGTGAGTGAGTGAGGCTGGTGAGTGAGTGAGCTGGTGAGTGAGCTGGTGAGTGAGTGAGCTGGTGAGTGAGCTGGTGGGTGAGCTGGTGAGGTGAGTGAGCTGGTGAGTGAGCTGGTGAGTGAGTGAGTGAGCTGGTGAGTGAATGAGCTGGTGAGTGAGTGGTGAGCGAGCTGGTGGCGTGAGCGAGCTGGTGAGTGAGCTGGTGAATGAGCTGCTGAGTGAGTGAGCTGGTAAGTGAGTGAGCTGGTGAGTGAGTGAGCTGGTGAGTGAGTGAGCTGGTGAGGTGAATGAGCTGGTGAGTGAGCGAGCTGGTGAGTGAATGAGCTGCTGAGTGAGTGAGCTGGTGAGTGAAGCTGGTGAGTGAGCGAGCTGGTGCGTGAGTGAGTGGTGAGTGAATGAGTGAGCTGGTGAGTGAGCTGGTGAGTGAGTGAGCTGGTGAGTGAGTCGAGCTGGGAAGTGAGTGAGCTGGTGAGTGAATGAGCTGCTGAGTGAGTGAGCTGGTGAGTGAGCTGGTGATGTGAGCGATGGTGAGTGAGTGAGCTGGTGAGTGAATGAGACTGGTGAGTGAGCTGGTGAGTGAGTGAGCTGGTGAGTGAGTGAGCTGGTGAGTGAGTGAGCTGGTGAGTGAATGAGCTGGTGAGTGAGCGAGCTGGTGAGTGAGTGAGCTGGTGAGTGAGTGAGCTGGTGAGTGAGCTGGTGAGTGAGCGAGCTGGTGAGTGAGTGAGCTGGTGAGCGAGTGAGCTGGTGAGTGAGCGAGCTGGTGAGTGAGCGAGCTGGTGAGTGAGCGAGCTGGTGAGCGAGCTGGTGAGCGATCTGGCGAGCGATGTGCGACCCTGACGGGATGTTTGAGATGTGCAGCGTGGCGGACGGAGGCCCCACGTGCCGGGCGTTCTTGCTCCCCGGTTTGCTGAATCGGTGCAGGGCGGAGGAGGTGAAGTCGTTGGTCAGTTCGTCAGGGCCCTCCTTGGGCAGCTGCACCGTGTGGAATCGCGAAGAAGCAATGCGCAATGGCTTGCCGTACATCCGCTGCCCGTTGAGGAACGTCATGGCTGCAGAGAGAGAGAGAGACACAGAGATACACACACAGAGATACACAGAGAGATACACACACACAGAGAGAGACACACACACAGACACACACACAGACACACACACACACACACAGACACACACACACACACAGAGACACACACAGACACACACAGAGACACACACACACACACAGACACACACACACAGAAGAAGCAATGCGCAATGGCTTGCCGTACATCCGCTGCCCGTTGAGGAACGTCATGGCTGTAGAGAGAGAGAGAGAGAGACACAGAGACACACACACAGAGATACACACACACACAGAGACACACACACAGAGACACACACAGAGACACACACACACACACAGAGACACACACAGACACACACAGAGACACACACACACACACACACACACACACACAGACACACACACACACACAGAGACACACACAGACACACACAGAGACCACACACACACAGACCACACACACACAGAAGAAGCAATGCGCAATGGCTTGCCGTACATCCGCTGCCCGTTGAGGAACGTCATGGCTGCAGAGAGAGAGAGACACACAGAGACACACACAGAGATACACACACACAGAGACACACACACACACAGATACACACACACAGAGACACACAGAGACACAGACACACACACACACAAGAAGCAATGCGCAATGGCTTGCCGTACATCCGCTGCCCGTTGAGGAACGTCATGGCTGCAGAGAGAGAGAGAGACACAGAGATACACACACAGAGATACACAGAGAGATACACACACACAGAGAGAGACACACACACAGACACACACACACACAGAAGAAGCAATGCGCAATGGCTTGCCGTACATCCGCTGCCCGTTGAGGAACGTCATGGCTGCAGAGAGAGAGAGAGACAGAGACACACACAGAGATACACACACACACAGACACACAGAAACACACACAGAGACCAATCACACAGAGACACACACAGAGACACACACAGAGACACACACAGAGGCACACACAGAGACACACACAGAGACACACACACACAGAGACACACACACACAGAGACACACACACAGACACACACACACAGAGACACACACACAGAAGAAGCAATGCGCAATGGCTTGCCGTACATCCGCTGCCCGTTGAGGGAACGTCATGGCTGCAGAGAGAGAGAGAGACACAGAGATACACACACAGAGATACACAGAGAGATACACACACACAGAGAGAGACACACACACAGACACACACACACAGAAGAAGCAATGCGCAATGGCTTGCCGTACATCCGCTGCCCGTTGAGGAACGTCATGGCTGCAGAGAGAGAGAGAGACACAGAGATACACACACAGAGATACACAGAGAGATACACACACACAGAGAGAGACACACACACAGACACACACACACAGAAGAAGCAATGCGCAATGGCTTGCCGTACATCCGCTGCCCGTTGAGGAACGTCATGGCTGCAGAGAGAGAGAGACACACAGAGACACACACAGAGATACACACACACAGAGACACACACACACACAGATACACACACACAGAGACACACAGAGACACAGACACACACACACACACAGAGACACAGAGACACACAGAGACACACACACACACAGAAGAAGCAATGCGCAATGGCTTGCCGTACATCCGCTGCCCGTTGAGGAACGTCATGGCTGCAGAGAGAGAGAGAGACAGAGAGAGACACACACAGAGATACACACACAGAGACACACACAGAGACGCACACAGACACACACAGAGAGACACACACAGAGACACAGAGACACAGACAGACACACAGACACACACACAGACACACAGAGAGACACACAGAGAGACACACACAGAGACACAGACAAAGACACACACAGAGAGACACACAGAGACACAATCACACTGAGACACACAGACAGAGACACACAGACAGAGACACACAGAGACACAATCACACTGAGACACATAGACAGAGACACACAGACAGAGACACACAGAGACACAGACAGAGACACAATCACACAAGTGGTGTTTGTAGTCATGGTGGTTGTGGTGGTGGTTGTGGTGGTTGTGGTGGTGGTGTTTGTAGTCATGGTGGTTGTGGTGACTGTGGTTGTTGTGGTGGTTGTGGTGGTGGTTGTGGTGGTTGTGGTGGTTGTGGTGGTTGTGGTTGTGGTGGTGGTTGTGGTGGTTGTTGTGGTGGTAGTTGTTGTGGTGGTTGTGGTGGTGGTTGTGGTGGTTGTTGTGGTGGTTGTTGTGGTGGTTGTGGTGGTGGTTGTGGTGGTTGTGGTTGTTGTGGTGGTTGTGGTGGTGGTTGTGGTGGTTGTGGTGGTTGTGGTGGTTGTGGTGGTTGTGGTGGTTGTGGTGGTGGTTGTGGTGGTGGTTGTGGTGGTTGTGGTGGTGGTGGTTGTGGTGGTGGTTGTGGTGGTTGTGGTGGTGGTTGTGGTGGTGGTTGTGGTGGTGGTTGTGGTGGTGGTTGTGGTGGTGGTTGTGGTGGTGGTTGTGGTTGTAGTTGTTGTGGTGGTTGTGGTGGTGGTTGTGGTGGTTGTTGTGGTGGTTGTGGTGGTTGTTGTGGTGGTTGTGGTGGTTGTGGTTGTTGTGGTGGTTGTGGTGGTGGTTGTGGTGGTTGTGGTGGTTGTGGTGGTGGTTGTGGTGGTGGTTGTGGTGGTTGTGGTGGTTGTGGTGGTTGTGGTGGTGGTTGTGGTGGTTGTGGTGGTTGTGGTGGTTGTGGTGGTGGTTGTGGTGGTGGTTGTGGTGGTGGTTGTGGTGGTGGTTGTGGTGGTAGTTGTGGTGGTAGTTGTGGTGGTTGTGGGTGGTGGTTGTGGTTGTGGTGGTTGTGGTGGTTGTGGTGGTGGTTGTGGTTGTAGTTTGTTGTGGTGGTTGTGGTGGTTGTGGTTGTGGTGGTTGTGGTGGTTGTGATGGTGGTTGTGGTTGTGATGGTAGTAGTTGTGGTGGTTGTTGTTGTGGTTGTACCCAGCTGTGCGCGACTGGCGTCTGCCATCTGAATGAGGGCTGTGTCCTTCTTGTTGAAGAGAATCTTCACCCTTTGGACATCCCCGTAGACTCCTACACACACACAGTCACACACAGACACAGTCACACACACACACACACAGTCACACACAGGCACAGTCACACACAGTCACACACAGTCACACACACACACACACAGTCACACACAGTCAGACACAGACACACACAGTCAGACACAGTCACACACAGTCACACACAGTCACACACACAAAAACAGTCACACACACACAGTCACAGTTTCACACAGTCACACACACACACAGTCACAGTTTCACACAGTCACACACACACACACAGTCACAGTTTCACACAGTCACACACACACACACAGTCACACAGACACACACACAGTCACACAGTCACACACAGTGACACACAATGTCACACACACACAGTGTCACACACACAGTGTCACACACAGTCATACACACACAGTGTCACACAATGTCACACAGTGTCACACAGACATACATACACACACAGTGTCACACACACAGTGTCACACAGTCATACACACACAGTGTCACACAATGTCACACAGTGTCACACAGACACACATACACACACAGTGTCACACACACAGTGTCTCACACACACACACACACAGTGTCACACACAGTCATACACACACAGACACACACACAGACACACAGTCACACACAGTCATACACACACACAGTGTCACACAATGTCACACACAATGTCACACACACAGTCATACACACACACACAGTGTCACACAATGTCACACACACACAATGTCACACACACACACAATGTCACACACAATCACACACACACAGACACACAGTCACACACACACAGACACACAGTCACACACAGTCATACACACACACAGTGTCACACAATGTCACACACACAACGTCACACACACAATGTCACACACAGTCACACACCCGCTAATCCTTCCGTTACCACAACAATCGCAACAACCACCACAACCACAACGACCACAACCACGAGAATTGTTGTTGTTGTTGTTGTTGTCCTCGCTGCTGCTCTGCGTGTGACGTGTCGGTGGGGGTCACGGTGGGGGGGAGAGTGGGTGGGGGTTGGTGGGTGGGTGGGGAGTGCGGTGGGTGGGTGGGGGTTGGTGGGGTTGGTGGAGTGGAGGTTGGTGGGTGGGTGGGGTTGGTGGGTAGGGGTTGGTGCGTGGGGCTGGTTGGTGGGTGGGGTTGGTGGGTGGGTGGTGGGTGGGGTTGGTGGGTGGGTGGTGGGTGGGGACCCTACTAGACAGGTTAAAGAGTCTTTGAGGAGTGATCATCTTTAGAAGAGAGAGGGGGGAGGAGCGGGGTTGGTGGGTGGGGTTGGTGGGTGGAGTTGGTGGGTGGGTGGTGGGTGGGTGGTGGGTGGGGACCTACCAAACAGGTTAAAGAGTCTTTGAGGAGTGATCATCTTTAGCAGAGAGAGGGGGGAGGAGTGGGGTGGGTGGGGTTGGTGGGTGGAGTTGGTGGGTGGGGTGGTGGGTGGGTGGTGGGTGGGGACCTACCAAACAGGTTAAAGAGTCTTTGAGGAGTGATCATCTTTAGCAGAGAGAGGGGGGAGGAGTGGGGTGGGTGGGTGGGGTGGGTGGGTGGAGTTGGTGGGTGGGTGGGTGGTGGTGGGTGGTGGTGGGGACCTACCAAACAGGTTAAAGAGTCTTTGAGGAGTGATCATCTTTAGCAGAGAGAGGGGGGAGGAGTGGGGTTGGTGGGGTTGGTGGGTGGGTGGGTGGGGTTGGTGGGTGGGTGGTGGGTGGGTGGTGGGTGGGGACCTACCAAACAGGTTAAAGAGTCTTTGAGGAGTGATCATCTTTAGCAGAGAGAGGGGGGAGGAGTGGGGTGGGTGGGTGGGGTGGGTGGGTGGAGTTGGTGGGTGGGTGGGTGGTGGGTGGGTGGTGGGTGGGGACCTACCAACAGGTTAAAGAGTCTTTGAGGAGTGATCATCTTTAGCAGAGAGAGGGGGGAGGAGCGGGGTGGGTGGGTTGGTGGGTGGGGTTGGTGGGTGGGTGGAGTTGGTGGGTGGGGTTGGTGGGTGGGTGGTGGGTGGGTGGTGGGTGGGGACCTACCAAACAGGTTAAAGAGTCTTTGAGGAGTGATCATCTTTAGCAGAGAGAGGGGGGAGGAGTGGGGTTGGTGGGTGGGGTTGGTGGGTGGGGTTGGTGGGTGGGGTTGGTGGGTGGTGGGTGGGTGGTGGGTGGGGACCTACCAAACAGGTTAAGAGTCTTTGAGGAGTGATCATCTTTAGCAGAGAGAGGGGGGAGGAGTGGGGTTGGGTGGGGTTGGTGGGTGGAGTTGGTGGTGGAGTTGGTGGGTGGGTGGTGGGTGGGTGGTGGGTGGGGACCTACCAAACAGGTTAAAGAGTCTTTGAGGAGTGATCATCTTTAGCAGAGAGAGGGGGGAGGAGTGGGGTGGGTTGGGTTGGTGGGTGGGGTTGGTGGTGGAGTTGGTGGGTGGGTGGTGGGTGGGTGGTGGGTGGGGACCTACCAAACAGGTTAAAGAGTCTTTGAGGAGTGATCATCTTTAGCAGAGAGAGGGGGGAGGAGTGGGGTTGGTGGGGTTGGTGGGTTGGTGGGTGGAGTTGGTGGGTGGGTGGTGGGTGGGTGGTGGGTGGGGACCTACCAAAACAGGTTAAAGAGTCTTTGAGGAGTGATCATCTTTAGCAGAGAGAGGGGGGAGGAGTGGGGTTGGTGGGGTTGGTGGGTTGGTGGGTGGAGTTGGTGGGTGGGTGGTGGGTGGGTGGTGGGTGGGGACCTACCAAACAGGTTAAAGAGTCTTTGAGGAGTGATCATCTTTAGCAGAGAGAGGGGGGAGGAGCGGGGTGGGTGGGTTGGTGGGTGGGTTGGTGGGTGGGTGGAGTTGGTGGGTGGGTGGTGGTGGGTGGTGGGTGGGGACCTACCAAACAGGTTAAAGAGTCTTTGAGGAGTGATCATCTTTAGCAGAGAGAGGGGGGAGGAGTGGGGTTGGTGGGGTTGGTGGGTTGGTGGGTGGAGTTGGTGGGTGGGTGGTGGGTGGGTGGTGGGTGGGGACCTACCAAACAGGTTAAAGAGTCTTTGAGGAGTGATCATCTTTAGCAGAGAGAGGGGGGAGGAGTGGGGTTGGTGGGGTTGGTGGGTTGGTGGGTGGAGTGGTGGGTGGGTGGTGGGTGGGTGGTGGGTGGGGACCTACCAAACAGGTTAAAGAGTCTTTGAGGAGTGATCATCTTTAGCAGAGAGAGGGGGGAGGAGTGGGGTTGGTGGGGTGGTGGGTTGGTGGGTGGAGTTGGTGGGTGGGTGGTGGGTGGGTGGTGGGTGGGGACCTACCAAACAGGTTAAAGAGTCTTTGAGGAGTGATCATCTTTAGCAGAGAGAGGGGGGAGGAGTGGGGTTGGTGGGGTTGGTGGGTTGGTGGGTGGAGTTGGTGGGTGGGTGGTGGGTGGGTGGTGGGTGGGACCTACCAAACAGGTTAAAGAGTCTTTGAGGAGTGATCATCTTTAGCAGAGAGAGGGGGGAGGAGTGGGGTTGGTGGGTGGGGTTGGTGGGTGGGGTTGGTGGGTGGGGTTGGTGGGTGGAGTTGGTGGGTGGTGGGTGGGTGGTGGGTGGGGACCTACCAAACAGGTTAAAGAGTCTTTGAGGAGTGATCATCTTTAGCAGAGAGAGGGGGGAGGAGCGAGGTGGGTGGAGTTGGTGGGTGGGTGGTGGGTGGGTGGAGTTGGTGGGTGGGTGGTGGGTGGGTGGTGGGTGGTGACCTACCAAACAGGTTAAAGAGTCTTTGAGGAGTGATCATCTTTAGCAGAGAGAGGGGGGAGGAGCGGGGTGGGTGGGTTGGTGGGTGGGGTTGGTGGGTGGGTGGAGTTGGTGGGTGGGTTGGTGGTGGGTGGTGGGTGGGTGGTGGGTGGGGACCTACCAAACAGGTTAAAGAGTCTTTGAGGAGTGATCATCTTTAGCAGAGAGAGGGGGGAGGAGTGGGGTTGGTGGGTGGGGTTGGTGGGTGGGGTTGGTGGGTGGGGTTGGTGGGTGGAGTTGGTGGGTGGTGGGTGGGTGGTGGGTGGGGACCTACCAAACAGGTTAAAGAGTCTTTGAGGAGTGATCATCTTTAGCAGAGAGAGGGGGGAGGAGTGGGGTGGGTGGGGTTGGTGGGTGGAGTTGGTGGGTGGAGTTGGTGGGTGGGTGGTGGGTGGGTGGTGGGTGGGGACCTACCCAACAGGTTAAAGAGTCTTTGAGGAGTGATCATCTTTAGCAGAGAGAGGGGGGAGGAGTGGGGTGGGTTGGGTTGGTGGGTGGGGTTGGTGGGTGGAGTTGGTGGGTGGGTGGTGGGTGGGTGGTGGGTGGGGACCTACCAAACAGGTTAAAGAGTCTTTGAGGAGTGATCATCTTTAGCAGAGAGAGGGGGGAGGAGCGGGGTGGGTGGGTTGGTGGGTGGGTTGGTGGTGGGTGGAGTTGGTGGGTGGGTGGTGGGTGGGTGGTGGGTGGGGACCTACCAAACAGGTTAAAGAGTCTTTGAGGAGTGATCATCTTTAGCAGAGAGAGGGGGAGGAGTGGGGTTGGTGGGGTTGGTGGGTTGGTGGGTGGAGTTGGTGGGTGGGTGGTGGGTGGGGACCTACCAAACAGGTTAAAGAGTCTTTGAGGAGTGATCATCTTTAGCAGAGAGAGGGGGGAGGAGTGGGGTTGGTGGGGTTGGTGGGTTGGTGGGTGGAGTTGGTGGGTGGGTGGTGGGTGGGTGGTGGGTGGGGACCTACCAAACAGGTTAAAGAGTCTTTGAGGAGTGATCATCTTTAGCAGAGAGAGGGGGGAGGAGCGGGGTGGGTGGGTTGGTGGGTGGGTTGGTGGGTGGGTGGAGTTGGTGGGTGGGTGGTGGGTGGGTGGTGGGTGGGGACCTACCAAACAGGTTAAAGAGTCTTTGAGGAGTGATCATCTTTAGCAGAGAGAGGGGGGAGGAGTGGGGTTGGTGGGGTTGGTGGGTTGGTGGGTGGAGTTGGTGGGTGGTGGTGGTGGGTGGGTGGTGGGTGGGGACCTACCAAACAGGTTAAAGAGTCTTTGAGGAGTGATCATCTTT